TACACTCCACTATCACTCTTCGATTCCTGCTGAAAGTGATAATGTGAGCAGTCGAAGTGAGGTTGAATCTGCAGAGTAAAATGCCTTTTAGGAAGTAAGGCAACATAAAATTAATTGGAAACTTATGGACTACTCTTATCATTTCGGCAAAATTCAACTTATTGAAATAAGTTGAACAAATATCACATATATGATCTGGTGGTCGTCTCGAAAACCTAGTTATAAACGAAAAGTGTTTGCGGACAGTTATTCAGATTGTAATTTATTGCTAGGAGTGGCGAGAGTTGCTGAATATGCCGGTCATTATTGCTTAGTGGTAGGTAGGTTTTATTTTTTTAACTTAATAAATTCTATATAAAATCTCCCTTATAAACCAATCTAATGTAGATCGTTTTATTCTAAAATCACATTTATTTGCCCCTTCTTATCTATTCATTTTCTATACTTCCTAATATATGCTTCCGGGGCAAGTCTCCGACACAAATGGGTTTCTCTGAATGTATCAATTTTGACATTGTTCTGAAAAATTCGGCTTTTTATTTTATTGAGGCGCCACCAATGATTTAAATAAAAATTTTACTAGGTTCCGCTTTCTAAGAGTACCACATTTAGGCGAGTCATCTCACCCTACGTCAAAATTTGCTTCCAATTTTCCGGTACGATCCTATAAAGTTGCCGGCTTTCGTTTAAATTTCGTGGCTCTGTATAGCAGAATATTCCCTTCAAATAAACCGGGGCAAAGTTTCTCCATTTTATATTCGTATTTTTATTCTGAAACTCATCGGATTTTAATAATTGCATTGATAAATTCATACTAGCTACTTAGTTTTTTCCTAACTTAGAGGACGAGATAACTCTATGAAAATAGGATAATTTCTCAATTTTTAGGTTACAATTTGCAATGCTTTTGCATATTAAAAAAATATTAGTTTCAGTTTGCCTCTAGCTACAAAATGAGTTGCCATGAAAAATTTAATGGAAACATGAGGCGTACTCATATGATTGTGGTAAAATTCAACTACCAGTCCTTCATTTCTTAAATGAAATAAGGCTCTCATATGTTGATTACTTCCCATCAAATTCCCCTAAAGTTATTAACTTTTCAATTTCGTTTCAATTACATATAATTTATTACTTTTTACTTCTATTTGATAAACATTTACCTCCTTTCCTTTTTAGGACCTGCCGCTTGGTGACACTATTCCTTCGGCCTTAGATCTTAGTTCGGAGGAAGGCCCAAAGGATATGTCGGCCCTTGTCTGCCTTATAGTTTTCCTTATCGGATTTTCCTTCTCCTGGGGACCTTTGCCTTTGGTTGTCGCCCTTGAGCTATTCCCTGGCGCCATAGAGCGTGGTCGTGCTGGTGGGATTATCCAGTCAGCCACTTGGATAGTTGGCTTCACTATCACCTGGTCCTATTTTTATGTTTCTGAAATTTTGGGTGGTATAGGTCAAGTGTTTTTATGTTTCGCATTTTTTAGTCTGATTGGTGGGGTCTTAGTAATGTGTATGATACCCGAGAGTGATATTCAGAAGCAGGAACCAGGCTTTCTAGAATAACAACGGTTCAATACTATATTTGAATGTCTTCCCCTCCAAACGCATTATCAGAGTATCCTTTCATACTCCTTTTTAAAAAAATGCTCCATCCCTTGCTATACTCATTGGTTCATTCATTCATGCAAATTATTCGCCTCATGGATCCATTAATTATTTTAATAGTGAGGAAAGGTGATTATCGTATAGACCTTGAATTCATATACGGTGAAAGTATACATTCTGATTTAAAAGTATGGAGATATTTTTCACTATTGTTATCCCCTCAGTCCCATGATTTCATCATCCGAGACCTTCCAGTAATTCACTTCCAGAGCACAATTTACATTGTTTCTGTGTTTGGGGCGTATTATTTTGCTTAATCTCTAGATGATGCATTATAATTTTACAAGTATAACTTTCTTTCTAGTTGCAGAATTCTTTAAATTCAATCGCATCCCCTGCCCATATATTTTTGCAATACCTAGGTAAATGTATTTGCAAACATGCGAGTACAGCTGCATTCGAACTTTACCGACTCAGCATGAATAGGCTGCGATTGAATAATTGAGTGCACAACTGGTTTTTTATTCCCTATTTTATGTAAATTTATTGAGAGTTGTAATGATATTTCAATAATTGTACAAAAATTTGTGCCTTCTGATTTGTGTATATAAGAGTAAATGGCGTACCCATAGCTTTCATTTAGACAAAAAGTCTCTATTTCCCCACATCTATCATGCATCTGGACAACCCTTTTGGAGCACTGACAAGAGCTAAATGATCCGTTTTACCGTTGTAAAACATTCGCATATTTCAGGTTATTTCAAAATAATGTCATGAAACCACATTTTAAACCTAAGCTTTTTTACTTTTCCACCAGGATATTTTATAAATAAGGAAGTAAATAACATTTTTGTATGTATTTGATTGTATTACCCTAATACTCATAGATACATCTCAAAAGACTTCACGATCTGTGGTAATTTCTACATGAAATCTACTAGTGTTAAAGTTATCACAGCTTTTTTTATATAAAAAAGTGTAATTTTATCTATTCGGCTTCTTATTTCTCTGCTTTGTTTACTTTTTTTGATGAACTCATAATTCCTTAAATGTATTTCCTTTTAGATTAATCATAATAACTGAAAAAGCATTCGGAGCAATTACATAAAACATCTGTATGTTTAAAAACTATCATTTAGTAGTAGATATTAAGAGTAATTGAGTTTCGACAAATCGTCTGAGATAATATTATTGGTTGGACTTTTATTTCGTATGAAAGCGGATGAAGAAGAGATTCGAAGGACGATCTTACCAGAAGAGGGCGGTGACTGGAGCCAGGACCTTAGGCTTATTAAAACGATAAAGGTACCGATAATTACATTAGATTCCATTATTCCACTGAATATCACTTAGCGTCGTTATCTTGTTCATGCTAGACGAAATCTTTGACCTGACCA